GTTTGTCACACTCTAGTTGTGCAGTAACTGCCAGGGATTTTGGCAAGTCTTTGGGCCCGATTCCTAAGTCCAATTTTTTGGGCCCAAGTTGCAAGCCTTGAGTCTGAGTCTTGAATTTTTTTGTCCCCCGCCCTGCCCCAAGGCTTGGGACTTGGGACTCAGACCCAAAGACTCAGACTGGACATGCACCACCCAGCTGATAGGTTGGTGTGTGTGTGTGCAGAGACAGCAGGCTGACTTCCCTTCCCAGAGCCAGCCCCTGCCTCTGTGCATGTGCTGACGTGTCAGCTGGGCAGCAGGTGCATAGGTAGAGGAAGGGAAGCTGGGGATGGTGGAGGCAGTGGCAGGCAGGGAGGACCATCCCTTAGGAACTCAAAATCCAAGTTGGAAAAATAGTTCAGAGTTGTGAGTCACGTCCAAGTCTGCCCAACCTCCCCTAGTCAAGTCCAAGTTGAGTCGTGGGTGTGACTTAAGTACGTCTTGACAGCAAGTCTTGTCTTACAAGTCCCCAAACCTGGTAACTACAGTGGTGCACAACTACATTATTGAAGCAAACCAGGAGTTCATTTGGTTTTTTTTTTTAGAATCAGCATGCTACCAAGTGGTACTTGGGTCGGTGTGTGCATCCTCATGGAAATGCTCTCCCATGTTTTGCCTCTATGATGTAAAGAAACAGGGAGGAGGAGTCTCTGTCAGCCTTCCCTTTGGTGAAGGCTTCTCTCAGGCTTGGGGTAGACCAGCCACTCCACTTTCTTCAACTGCCAGGAGCTCTGCAGAACCGAGAAGGGGGTGCAGTCTGCATTCTGATAGTGGTGGGTTCCACAAAGTGGTTTGGGGGCAAGAATCATGAATTTTAGTGCAGCTGTGGGTGTGACAGTGTCAGCAGCAGCTTATCCCCCCCGTCTCCTTGTGTTTTTAATATTTAATGTTTGTATATGTTTGGAACTGGCATAGCACTAGAATCGATGCAGCAATAAAACAGAAACTTTGTTTTTAAAGGAGGAGTTCAAACTGCAGAGTATCTTTCATTCTAAAACTCCTTGTACTTGGCACCCATTTTGGCAAACCCCATAGACTCTCACAGACACTATCTACTCCAACACATGCCAAAAATTAAGTTTTTTTAAATGTGTAACTTAAAATAAGCAACTCTCTTGTGGGTTTTTTTTAAAAAAAAACACCTCAATTTCTGACCCCCAAAAATGCATGTTTAGCTATATATCGTGTAGGTGGATATTTCAAAATTGATTTCAAGTGTGCTAAACAGATGCAGAACCAGAAGTATTACAACATGTAGCCTAGCCCTTACTAAACAACAGGATTTCAACCAACGTAAATGTGATTGGGTTCAGACATAAAACTGAGCAGTTCCTCCTCTTTGATGGGATTAACCACAGGCTACATAGCTTTTCCAACCAAACATTTACCTTCACAAGAAGGAAGGGGATCAACCATAACTTCTCTAGGTCCAACGGGACCGGTTGCTTACAAGGGATCAGTCCACGACATAGGAAGTCTATCAACTACTTCATTGTCTCTTAATGCGGAGATGCTCGAAATCTCTCCTTCTCTGTTGGCCTTCACATAGGATTGCTCTTCACTGCGCATATGGGGTGACGTGCCCAATTGCCTTTGCGAGGTGTCTGAGTCACTGGAAAATGATCTGGGCGGACCACCTTCCTCCAAGGACCTTTTTCCCATGGGTACACATATACGGTCCATTCCAAAGGATCCAGTTCTCCCAATTATATTTCCAAACCCTGACCTCCTCGCCCACGCGCATAATTGTTAGCTGCCCAGAGTGGTCAGTTGATCAGCTGGGCGGGATATAAATAAAATAAAATAAATAAATAAAATAACCACCACATCTTTCTCTCCTCACTTCTTCTCTTCCTGGCACATTAAACACATAGAGTTCTTTTTCCTCCCCTCTCTTTATGCTGCCTTCTTCCTTCTCCTCTCGTCTGGACTAATCCACTCCTCCGCACCTCAGCTTTTCTTTTTCTCCTCCTCCCCTTCCTCTGTCATCAAGAAGCTTTCTGTAATTTCCTCCCTTTTTCCCACTTTTTTTCTCTCTCTTCGCTCATCAGCCACCTCTCCCCCTATAGCCAGGTCCTCCATCTTTGTAGGTAAAGCAGCCACAAGGGTGCTGGCTTCTTCTGCCCCAGACGATCAAGGGGCAGCTCACTTCTAGGCTTAAGTGACACCTTAACCTCTTCTTCACAAGCCAAAATAACTCAAATACACTATAAAGCAAGTAAAGAATTATTATTTTTATGATATTCAAAATTCCATATGCTACTAGGCAACTCTTTCAAAGCATAATAGTAAAGTTGCAATCCTATTTGTATTTATTAAGCTATGTGCATGCAATTTGTGGTGGTAAATTCCAAGGTTTGGATGTTAATCATGATAGTTTCTATAGCCACACCTCAAGCAGAGCCCACAAATACTGATCTTTATCAACATAACGGAAGCTTCTAATTGTTTTCAACTCCACCGGAAACAGGACTTCTGCAAAACTAATAGCTCTTAATTGCCCATTCAGGACCAGAGCACACCAAAATATTTGCATTGAAAGAAGGATAACATATAAAAATAAGAAAACGTTCTCTCCTCCTAGCTACTCTTGAGGACTGCAATTAAACTGAAATGGAATGAAGAAGCTAAAAAGGAGAACTAGATGACTTTACCGATGTACTGTTAAGCTAAATGAAAATTGGTATCTGCAAGCCCTGGTTTGACTTCATCATGACAGTAAGTCCTGGTGAACACAGTGGCCAGTATCCTGTTCATGCCAGTGGAACACAAAATCATGCCAGTGTAAACGTGTTGGATGTTATGCCTGGCAACAAGGAATTGTGCAATGGAATTGTACAACTGGTCACATGTTCCACCTTGGCACTGCCAGAAATACCATGTTCACAATCGCAAGTTGCATGCATATAGTTGTGCAGTAGTATTTTGGAGAGAGTGAATTATTTTCAGAAAAATATGGATATTGTTGGGTGCAGAAATATCTCCTAAAATATATGCACCAAAACCAAATTGTGACATTTAGCTGATTCAGACTTTTCACATTAACTTGGATTATAAAATTATAGGCAAATATAATGTCATCCTAATAGATAGTAACAGCTGCTGCATTTTCTTTAAAAATCTAAATAAATTATCAGTTAATAAAAAGCAAAATTGTTAATACTGACTTTGTTGTTATACATCACTTAAACTGAATGTTGCTTTCATGGAGAGAACTCTCTATCCCCATGTGAACTGCGCCAGCCATGGCAGCTTTAGTGGGGAGCTCCTTCATCCATCCCTAGTTCCATAGAAGACACAGCACAGGCTTCAACAACAATGGGATTTATTGAAACGGGAATAGGGGAAACACATAAAGTACAAGGAGCTCCTTTCAGGATACTGTAGTTCCCTTCACTTCTAAAGTGTCCTTTAGAGTCCATAAGTCCCATGGTTGCTGCCACCAGTTCAGTCTCTTTCCCCTCCCTTATCAACAGGTTGATAACCTCTTTGCCCTCCTCAACAGGGAGGGTTTATACACCCACACCAAATGCAGCAGTAGCAGTCCCAGTTCTGACTGGTGGAACATTGTCTTTCAGCTCTTTTCTTTTTCCTCCTGCATCCTGGAGGGGTTTTCGCTGGTTTATATGGATGTCTCTGCTCCTTGCATTTCCTTTCCTCTCAATAAATGGGCTTGAGAAGAGATTTAGGATGTAAGTGTCTCTCAGCCTCTTCCTGGGGTACTCTCAGTTGTACAGTAACCTTAGCTTAGGGGTCTTTTTTGTATGCATCCTCCCAGTCACCTGGACCCTCTGGTTCTTCTACCTCTACTTGGGTTCCTTTAAGGCATCTCCCCAATCCCCTTCTTCTTCAGTCTCTTCCACTATCATTTCTGCAGAATGTTTTCTCATCACTCTGCTGGCTCCCTGTCTCTCTCCTCCTGGCCTTCCTTTCCTGCCTCTAGAGTCCACTTTATATTCCCTAGCCCCCAAAGGGCCAGTTGTCCCTCCTCCTTCCTGCTCCCCTTCACCCAGGTCTTCTTCTGGTGTCACCTCCCCAGAGATATCAGTAGGGGTTCTAGATTCAGGTTCTCTATCTCTGGGTTTCTCAGGTTTCCATTCAGTCCAAAGCACATCATGCTGATCTGTTGGGGAGCTGATGGTCTCAAATTCTTCCATTTCAGGAGACTCTGGTGATTGTATCTTCCTCCTCACATCCTTGCTTGTTATAGCAAAACAGACTAAAAGTTAGAGTATGATCACAAAAAGATTTTGAAGGATGTAAATTCATTAGAATAAACTAACATGAACAGAAGGAAAGGAATGCTTCAGTTATTTTTACATGGTTCTTTATTACATCCAATAATTAACTAGTTTTGCATTGAAAATTTGGACACACACACATCAGAGTACCAGTATCAACCAGTGTGCTTTATATGTGCATTGGTATTTCATGTATCAAAGTAATTCACCAAATGGGCAGGGTGATTATCTGTTAGACCAACTTCTGATGCTTAAAGGGTGCTAAGCTTCACATCTTTCTGATCAGGTAATGTCTTGACCCTTTTGAGTCTTGCATATTCAACAAAGCAGTAACTCTTTATACTAAACATTAATTATTAAAATCTATTATACATACTATGAAATTTATGTTTTTGGACTGCATTATGATTACACACTGCTTACAATATTGATAGTTACCTTGTTTACCCACATTTTATCAATGGTTCCTTAATTTTTAAAATACGTAGAAGCTTTGGCTGCAAGCAGTTATTTTCTCTGACTCAGAATTCAGACCTCTTGATTGTACTATTGCCTCTACCAAATCATATGTGTGTGATATCACTCTTTCATGAGAAATCAGTAAGTGTTGTTCCATGTTTTAGAAACTGCTGCTGTACAGGTTACTCTGCATAGGTCCTAAGGCACAATTGCTGAGGTGCAGTAACATACATGCCATAAAATGCTCCTTTTTGCTTACAGAAAAGCGACAGTTGATCCTGATGATCCACAATGTGCCAGACTTACTCTTGTAGGACAGATGGTTCCAGTGCCTCCAGAAGAAATTGAATTTGCCAAGCAAGCACTGTTTTCTAGGTCTGTATGAACCCACTGGTACTGAGCTAAAGATGGGGTGAGAGTGGAGCAAAATACAGCACGTTGGCCAAAAAAAAAAAAAAAAAATTTCAAAGGAGTAAGATGGATACTTAAGTTATATATTCCCAGAAAGCAAAGTTCCTGTAAAAGAGTCTGTGTGCAAGAGTAGAATGTTGATTGGAACAAGGGGTTCTTTCAGCTGGTGTTAAGCACTTTAAGCCTACTTGGCCAATGCTCACCTGTCCTTTTGAAAGCAGTGGGATTTTAATAAGTTTTAACTCTGAGTGCTTAGTGTCCAGGGTTTGTGGGAAAGAATTAGGAAAGGCACTGGTTGGTACAAACTTTCTTAAAGGTAGTATTCCTTATTCCCATTATACTAGAGCAAGTCTCTGTTTTCATTTTGTCCATCCCAAATTAAACAGTTTGAATACAGCATCTTTCAAGAAGCTCTTTCCAACATGGTGCCCTTCAGACATCTTGATCTACAGTTTCCATTCCCAGAGCTTATATGGTCAATGGCTGGTTTATGCCTGTTTGTGCCAAATTGACTGATGCATCTTTTTCAGAATGTGAAACTAAGGTATTTGTTTGGAATCCTGGTTGTCTTCTTTTAAAGGGGGCTGAATGGAAGGCGAAATCAGCAAACTGCTTGAAGTGATGCTGATGTATTTGCTGTAGTGGAGTAATTATTGCTGGAGTTATAAATCCTCAAATTTTCTATCTCTGACCCTAATATGGTAAATAGGAAAGCCAATTAGCATTGCATACACCTGGGAGGCAGGAAAGTTTTAAGGGTCGGATCATACTTCCGCACTAGTAGAGAGCAGGCCGGGTAGGTGGGGTTTGTCAGCCATGGAAGGCAGCCCATCTAGGAGAAGGAAAACTACAATTTCAAACCTCCACTGCCTTGTGGCTATATCCACTCATGGAAAAGGCTTCAGGAGTTAACCTTGAGGCAAAATCCGGAGCTGGAGTCCCGAAAGCAGTTCGTGTCGTTCTGCCAACTCCTGCGACGTTGCAGGAACCAGTTGTATTAGCTCTTGCCTTTCCATTGGGCCATTTCAGCAACGTGGAGAGGGGGGATTTGCTGCTTGGGTAACAGCCTATCCTTCATTCTACTTTATCCAGGATTCATGCTCTGGAGAGGAGATTTCTCGATACAGAGCATGTTACCATAGTCTCTCGAGACTGAAGGATGCCTATAATGAATTGACACTGTTGCCAAAGTTTTCTAGGATGATTGACTGGAAGTAGCCTTGCACATTATTAGAAACCTGTTTGGTTACCTTTGTTCTTTCAGGCACTCAGTAATGAGAAAGTGGCCTCGCAGTTATGAATGGTTCTTTATGAAAATGAACATTGAACACATCTGGCTGAAGAACTGGTATGGAGGAATTGTCACTGTTGCCCTGGAAGAATACTTCAAAGCAACTCACAATAAAGCTTGACTGAACTTTCAAACACAGGGATTCAGTGTTTCCACATTTACTTTGGAAGCAAACTGTTTTATTTACTATGTTACTGAGTATTTCATCAACAGTATTTTTGTGCAAAAGTATTTAAAAATGAATCCATCATTCTTAATGGGAGTTGAATGGCATTATGAACCTTTTACATGAAAATGAATGGTAGATCCTGAACTACAGTAGATAATCTTACCATTTAAAGCTGGAGATGGATCATCCTAAACTGTTCTTTAAGGTGTCAGAATATTTTTAGATTGATAGGAACTTCACAAAATATAGTGACACTATATGATGAGTATAATAGTTGAGAAGAAAGGAAATGTGAAATGAAATGCCTAGTTATGTATGGTTAGTTACTGCAACAAGGTTCTTCACCTGAAACTCTGAAGGGATGGTATACCTATGTACAGAATTTCAATCAAGACAACATGATTAATTTTAACTTTCCATTTGGCTTTCATTGTCTCATAAAAATGTAGTATCCTAGAATGGTTCAAAGGTATGTTTGTTATGCTTTTTAAAGAGAAAACAGAGAAAGAAGCGAGGGCCAGAATCATTCCGGGATAAAAGTGTAATTGCACAGCGTCCAATAAATAAATAAATAAATAAAATGGTTCAAAGGTATGTTTATTATGCTTTTTAAAGAGAGAAAGAAGCGAGGGCCAGAATCATTCTGGGATAAAAGTGTAATTGCACAGTTGTTTTACACCCTCTGCAGGGTGTCCACTGCACAATCAGTTCTGTGACCAATTATTTTACAATTGTTGCATGAATAATTTTGTGGTAAGTGGACAATTCACTGAAGAGGAGAATAATTTGCATGTTTACATTTCCATGTATACATTTTTCCAGGAAGATTCTGATCAGGGTGCTTAATCTTATTTTATTCCAATATTATCTGCATTTCAGATAATATTAAACCCCAGTTGTCTTCTCCACTTCCTTCTCCTCGTGCAACATAGCCAGTTGGCGAAGACTGGAACCTTTGGTTTCATTTTCAGTTATCCTTACCGGATTTTCTCCCCTATTTCATAATCTGAACAAACTAGTTTGTGTTAACTATGATTTATTAAAATAAGCCAACTTCAAACCATGGTTAATGATCCTGGTTTGAGCCTCTAAACTGTAATAAACTCTAACCACAGTTAAAGAAAGTGTCTTAGTTGAGGACCAAAGTAAAAATTTCCTGGTCTTGTTGCACCATGCCAGAGGAAACAGGAAAGGGAGAAATTCATATATGGTATATAATATTGAACAATCATTTAGTAGTATTTGCTAATCAGGCCAGTAGGATAAAAATCCTCACCCATGTTAACACTTTCTGTCTGCTTTGCTTCCACAGCTGACCCTGGGCAGACAGATCTGTTGCTGTATTACGGCCTTAGTTGTTGACCATAGCCTAATGAAAATAAATCTTGGTTTTTGCTTTTGTTTTTTAATACTATCCCAGTATCCTGATTATGGAAAATAGAGCAACATTACTGTTATTTGTCAGAAAAATCTATATTTAGCACTGCTTTTATGCTGTACATTTTTTACTGTTTCAGTATTTTCCAGAACAGGTCTCTGAACCTTATAAACTGCTTATTTGTAGCAGCCCCAAGCCCTAGAATAGCATCCTGCTATTAGAATGTTCACACAAAAATTGTAGAATATCACAGAGCAAGAACATGGATTGTGACACTACTTTATTCTTATTTATCAACTAGAACAAAATATTATAATTTACATGTATTTATCTCTTGCACTTTAAAATGGATGTTTATGTGTTATTTATTTCTATAATCCTTGAATAAGACCAGTAATACTGTTCCCATAAATAACTATT